CTTCGTCCTGTGTGAAAGTTGAATGATTTGATAGTCACTCTGTGACATTTAAAAATATTAACTTTTGGGGCTAGCCGAGTGGCTCCGTTGATTACAAGCTCACTCAAAAGTGTGAACTCTGAGCAACAGGGTTGCCGGTTTGATTCCTGGCCTGAGCTGAGCTGCCGCTGAGCTGCCAACAGGTGGCAGGATGGCTCAGCTAAAAAAAAATAATAACTTTTGTATGGCAACCTATTTTTGAGACAACACCAGATTTTGCCTTTTCAAGATCATTTTGAATTTTTAGTGATGCTGTTATATATAACTTGATTTACAGAAGTACAATTATATAAAATTTTTCTACATTTTGCAGTTTTTTTATTTGGTAGTGTTCAGTAATTTTTACTGATCTTTTCTGTCAGCTTTTCTGAACTCAGTACTTACCAAAGTTTATTTAAAGATGGACTATTATACAAATTCTTAATTTATTTTATGTAACATCAGCTTAGTTCATAAACAGGACTTAACTTATATGGTGTGAAATTGGTTAGGTATATCTCAAATCTCATTATTTTTAAAGGTATTTATTCTTGGACAGGGTAGGAAAGAGCGAGATGGTGAATTTTAATTAAAAGCTAAATCATAAACTGGAATCTCTATTGAAAATATTATCTAAGTATATGATAGGTGCTTGAGAAATATAAGATTTGTGAATTGCTTAATATAAATTCTCAAGAGTAAAATTTGTTGACTTATGCAAGGTATCTCAACTATCAGAAACAGTCTTGTCAGTTTTATTTCTGGTGAGCTAAGTAGAATATTTTAAGGGCAAAACCACAATTAAGACTTTGTCAGGTGTGTGCTCTGTGTAATGATTAGTTTCCCTTTTATTCATGAGAATATCATGGCCTTGGAGAAGTGTGCTTTTTCAATTACATTGCATGTCGTTATATTTTTGTCCTGTCTTTTGTCTTAGTCTTTGAAAACATTATTTTACTTTTAAGTGCTGACCTTTATATGTCATGTCTTGTTGGCTCATCTACATAATTCGTACTGTAGGGAAGGGAAAATGTATTTGTTTTTATTAAAATATTTCAAACATATAGAAAAGTACAGAGACCTATATAACAAACACTCATAGAACCACCACTTAGCTATGTAATACTTTAACATTTTGCAATTTTTGTTTCGGATCCTTAACAAAATGTTAGATACAGGTACGGCTTCTAGTGTATCCCTCCCCAGTTGCATTCCTTTCCCTTCCTCTCCTGAGGTAACTACTATCCCAAATTTGGTGTTTATCATTCCCATGGATATTTTTATTCTTCTTCTACGTATGTATACATGTACACACAAACACACACACACACACACACACGGTGTCAAAAAAATTGTATACACATTTTAAGAAAGGAAAACTATTAAAATTGTAATACTCAATATATACTGAAAACAAAAGATGAATACAAGTCACATTTGACTCCTGCGATTACAAGAGGTACTCAAAGTTGTTACCATCAGTGTAATTTTAATACAGTGTTTTCCTTTCTTAAAATGTGTCTACATTTTTTTGGTATGTGTGTGGGTGTACATATGTATGGTATTGTCTTACGTGCTTTTGAAATTTGTAGTACTCTATTTCTTCAGTTTACATTTTTGTTTAATGTCGTTTTCAGATTTATCTTCTCTAGTATCTCCTGTTATTAAAACACAATAAAAAACATTTTTCCATCCTTTATCCCTCTTTAGCTACCCCATATTTCTCTGCCTCTTATTAAAGCACTAGTCTTTGTGTTTCGTATACTTGTTTGCTCTCATTGTCTCTTGAACCCACACTAACCAACCTTTTTCTCCACCATTCTAAAGAAACCATTCTTATCAAGGTGTCCAGTGACTTCCATGTTACCACACCAAGTTCTCCCCAACTCTTCACTTAAGAGCATCTGACACACTGGATTACTCCTTTCTTCATATAACACATTATTTTACCTTCTAGGTTAGTACACCTTCCTGGTTTCATGTATGTCATGGCCAGTACTTTGAGTTCCTTTTGCTGGATCTTCGTTAAATTTTATTTTAAAAACAATTTAACAGAAAAGTATAGAATGAAAGTAAACATTCACCCAAACCAATATTCCCTCTCTAATAATGGATATAAACAGACTTTTGTTTTGTGGTATTTTTCAAGCACAGAGTTCTAATATTTTTGTGTGTAATCAGATTTAACGCTTTTTTATGTTTCCTAGATTTGGGGTGCTGCTTATCTTCTCCACTGTGTGCTTATAAATAATTTCACTTGGGTTTTCTTTGGTACTATTTGAGCTTCATTTTTTACCTTTAAATCTTTGATCCTTTTGGAACTTATTTAGGATACCCTAATGTGAATTGAAATAGTGTATAACCTATTATTTTTCTAAAAGGCTACCCAGTTGTCCCCCAATCATTTAAAATAATTTCTTGTTTCCTTGTTTGAAGTCCACCTTTACCATAGAGTAATTCCCTGATGTATTTGAGTTCCTTGCAAGTTCTTGAAAAAATTTATTTATTTTTAAAACCACTGAAGTGTGGTTCTCCCCACCCATATTGACTCTTTAAAAAAGATCATTACTGACTTTCTAGCTATTAAATCAATTAGCTGTAACTTCCTTGGTCTGGGCAGAACTCGAAACAGTTGAATACCTCCCAACTACTCTTCTTCCGCACCGCCCTTCTTCCTTAGCTTTTATCTCACAACTCTCTTAGTTTCTATCCTACCTATTCGCTCTCTCTTTTCTTTGCTAGTTTGTCTTCCTGTTTCTTGTGCAATTATGTTCTTTGGAATTCCACCTTTCCCATGGAAATATACTCCTGAGTAATGTTTCCCAATCTCATCATTTCAGCTGTTACTTAGCTATCTAAATATTCCTATATTTTCATTTCTAGTTTCAATCTAAATCTAAGTATATATATCCAGTTTTCTATTAGATGCCATTGGGTCTTCAGGAAAGTCATGATGCATGTTTGCAACAGATGCCACTAGTTCATTTTTAGAAGTACTAGAGTCATTCACATCTATGTTATTGCTATGTCATTTGACAGCTGACAGTTCTAGCTTCATTCTAAAAAAATTGAGCGATTTGGTTGAGTTTTGGAGATTTTACAACAAATTGAAGACGGAAGACCAAACTGTGCATTTTTGCCATATTTTACTGTTTCACTTCCATAAAGGGAAGAATGCCCGCCAAGCTTGTGAAAAGTTGCGTAAAGTTTACGGTGACAATGCTCTACAAGAATGTCAGTGCCAATGATGGTTCATGAAATGCGTGCTGGTGATTTTGATCTCAACAACGCTCCTCTGTCAGGGAGGCCCACCGAGATTGATGACAATGAAAGAAAGGCATTGATCGAGTCAAACCCACGTTACATGACATGAGAGATTGCAGAAACATTGAACATCCATCATTCAAGCATTTACGACCACCTGAAGAAGCTGGGATACATAAGCAAGCTCGATATTTGGGTTCCACATGAACTCGAAGAAGTTAATTTGATGGCGTGTATAAACATTTGCAATATGCTCATTAAACGTGAGGAAAACAATCCTTTTTTGAAGTGACTGCTAACTGGTAATGAGAAGTGGATTGTTTACAACATTGTGGTGCACAAACGGTCTTGGTCCCAACATGATGATTTGCTTCAAACAACATGGAAAGCAGACATTCATCAGAGGAAGATTATGTTCTCAGTGTGGTGGGATTTTAAAGATGTTGTGTGTTTCAAGCTCCTACCAAGGAACCAAACAATAAATTCAAATGTGTACTGTTGGCAATTGGACAGTTTTAATGAATCCATTATCTAGAAACATCCAGAGCTTGTTAATTGTAAAGGAGTTGTGTTTCATCACGACAACACAAGACCACACACAAGTTTGATCACCCATCAAAAATTATTGGAGCTTGGATGTGATGTGTTGCCACACCCACCATACTCGCCTGATCTAGTGCCATCAGACTTCCACTTGTTTCACTTTCTTCAAATCTCCTTGCGTGGTAGAACATTCAATTCAGATGAGGCTGTAAATCAGCATCTTGTTCAGTTTTTCACAAGTAAAGACAGGTCCTTCTATGAACGAGAAATTCTGAAGCTCACTGAAAGATGGCAAAAGGTTATCAAACAAAACAGGCAATATATCATTGATTGATGTTTGTTATTTTATATAAATAAATGACCTTTGACAAATTACATCATGACTTTTCTGAAGACCCAATATATTATGTGCTCTAGGGTGCTTCAATATGTCTATACCAAACCATTGTTCTTGCTTTCTATATTTCTCATTCTTCTCTATACCTTACCTCACTTGATATCATCACCATTTCCTCTAGTTACCTAAATAAAGTTTGTCTTTGATGTCTCTTGATGCCTTTAATATCGGTCAGTGATCTTCAGTCATAAGTCCTAGGTCTCCCTCATTATCCCTATAGCCCTAGTATGTGCCCTTTTTTATACCTTGATCATGGAAGTTGTTCCTTAACTGGTCTCCATACTTCAAGTCTCTCTCTCTTTCTCTCTCAATCTCTCTCTGATTTACCCCTACATTGCAGGCAGTCTTAATTTTCTAATACATATATTTACCATACAGATTCCTTGGTTAAAAACAGTTGGTTTTGGTTAAATCCTGCATAAATTGATAGCATGCATTTACTTCCTCTCTCTTCCTAACTCCATTAAAATGAGAGTAAAGAAATGGAAAATTTAAAAAGACAGAAAGAATAGGAGTGGACACATTGACAGATGTAAGGTTGAAACTACTTGTTTACTCAAAGCAAAGGAAGTTACAACTTCAATATATCTCCTCTACATGAACTTTTGAGAGAAAGCAACTAATTATTCCCAAGAACTCCTAATATTTTAAGACTTGGAGGTATCTGGTCTGTGGAAGACAGGAATGAATCATGAGATGGAAAACAGGCTGTTTCTTGAAAGTCTTTATAATAAGTGTCTGTAGTCCCACGTCTGCTCACCCACTCTCTGCTTCTCAGGCGACCAGAGATTTCTTATTTGGAGAATTTGAACTGGAGAGCCCCAGACTCAGGGATCCAGGTGCAGGAAGTGGATTGGTTGAAACAATGGGAGTAAGTGAAAGTTTGCATATCTAATTTTGGAACCTATATGTTCTACTCTAGATGCAGTTGGCTAAAAGGGGCATGAATTATTTGTTTTCACATTTCCAGATTCCTAATAGTAATTTTGATAAAGTTGTTTCTTTCTTGGCACATCTTTTATAAAACTGTAGCCTAAACAAAATTAAAATTCCTCAACACCTCAAAATTCTCTCAACACTTAAACATTTTTAGAAAATGTAAGTCAAGGACATTTGATTTTGAGATGTTTAAAACTTTTTATTTCATTTAAGCTGCTCAGTTTTAAACAAATGTAATAATAGGATTATAAGCAGAAAAATATTATGCAAATAAATATAAATGCTATGTTGTCATTTGATTTGTTTCATTTATAGAGTTTGAAAACAAGAAATAGAGTACTTTTTTCTTTTATGCTTCTTTTGCTTTTATCCCTAAATTAAGAGGCAGGAAGAGTGCAGGGAACAATGAAGAAAACCTTTTTTTCTCTAGCTTAATTATTTTAGGTCTTCACATAGTTTTATAACAAACATAATTATATGAATAAACTAAATTATATTCATTTTATCTTCCTAATCCAATAAATTGATTTTATTAATAAGACACATTTAAGTAAATATACATTTTTGCTTCCCAATATATTTGGAATTAATAGAATACATGAAATATACTCTACATCTCCAATGCAAAGCATTCCCATTAGTAAAAACCAATATATTAAAAGTGCAGTTTACTACAAACTTATCTGCTCTTTTATTATAAAAAAAACTACAGTAATAACCAAAACAAACATTTAGTCCATCAGGAAAACAACACTTTTACCCACTACCTATTTTATGTCTTTAGATTTCAAAATATAATGCCCTTCTAGCCATAATTTTAGCCATCCACTTCTAAAATTGTGGGCCCTGGTTATGGGCTTCTCAGGCCTCCAGTCCCCCTGGTAACATGGTACTTAATCCTGTTTCTGTAACTACATGGCAAATGTTTACCTCACCTCTTCACTTCAAATTTCTCTTGTCGAATTCAACTTCACCCAGACTTATCATTTAATCAATCCAACTTCTGTATACTTGGCTGTTTTTCCATGGGCAATTGTTAGCGAATGATGTCACATAAAATTTAGTCAATACTATTTAATGATTCAGTATGGAATTTTGTAAGTATTTTGACTTCTTTAGATGCAGTGTCTTAATTTCCTTTATTTTCTTAACTTTCATAATTTACAATATTGACATTTGGTACATGGACAAATGAATATACCTTGCCGTTTTTTCACAAAATATATAAAACATTACCAAGGTAGCATACTTTGAGAAGTCTAGTATTGATTGTCATAGTAGATACTGACTCCTTTTTTTCCTGAACAGGGCATTATCCAGCTTATGGAGGTGATGGATCACCTGCATCTGGGGGAATCAGTTGCTGCAGTTCTTCGTAACAGGTACAGTTATGGAAACAATTTACCTTATAAGTTACATAATGTCTCTCTTAACTATTTATATATCTAACATAGGTGCTACTCAATAAGTTTTGGTTGAATATCTGGCATGAAATAAAAGTGTTTGCTATATGAATGAATAAAAGAACGATTGAGTGACAGAATGAAGAGCATGTTAGTGACCATTTGTTCTGAGATAATGAAAAAATAAAGAATATAATTAGAAATCATAATTAGTATAAGTTGTGAACATGGAATTCAGTCAATGGAGTTAAAATTGGAATTTTACTTTTAAAGTGTATCAATGAATAAATACAGGTATCCATTGCTTAAGAATAGATGTATGAAGAGGTATTTTTTAATAGTATTGCTGTATGATTGTGTGTATATTTCTGTTATTTAAATATCCAATTAAAACTTTTCTAGGAAGTCATGAGAAATTCAGAGCTTCCTCTAACAATTTAGGATTTTAAATTCATGGTTCAAAGAAACATAACCTTTGCTTTGTAGGTGTGGAAGAGTATCCCTTATTCCCGATAGTTTAGTTGTATGGTTTGGGTGAAGTATTTGAAATACTATGCTGAAATCATCCATAGCATGGCTCTGACATGTACTGGCAGTATAATCTTGGCCAAATTTCTTAATTGCTCTGTGCCTTAAGTTCCTCATCTATGAAATTGGGATAATAATAGTACCAACATCTCAGGATTGTTTTGAGATTCAATAAGTGGAATGTGTGTGTAGAGAGAAAGAGAGTGATTTCCAAATAATACATGGTATATCAGTGTTAGTGTTGAAATACAAATGGAATTTTAACTATTTTGAAAATGGAATATTTGTGTTTTTGACATCTGAGGTACTTTAAAATATAAGTGTTTCTTAAAAGAATATGAAAAGAAGGGAAATATTAAAGTAGAAAGGGGACATATATAAAGTTGTTATTTATCAGATACTATACTAAGAATTTTGCATAATAATCTCATTAAATATATGAAGAAGGGTGCCTATTTTTTGGAACGTGTTATATCATCATCTGGGCAAGGGTCTGTAAGGTAGACTTGCTCAGGGACACAGAAAGCAAGAAAATGATAGTGGGAATAATGTATGACCATGTTGAGTGAAAAGATAAAAGAGAATAGTGGTTTGAGGACTTTGAATTCATAATGGTGAATTGTGTATGCAGGATTTAAGCACTGCTGAATACAAGGGTCTGTATCACACATTCAGAACAGGAAATGGTAGGAGGGCAGGGTTTCTCCTAAGGTCAAGTTGATAACCGAGGTGGTTATACCATACTTGAATTGCTTTGTTTCTATTATTTTTATTGAGGTATAATTACATACAGTAAAATAAACAAATATTTAAATATACATCTTGATTATTTTTATACATGCTCACATCTAGGTAACCACAACCCAGGTCAAGATATAAAACAATTCCATCTTACCAGAGAATTCCCTTGTACCCCTTTCCAGTTCAGATCCTTTCCACTTTTACTAAGGGAACCACTATGCTGACTTACATACCTTAGTTTATTTTCACTTGTTCTTGAACTTCATGTAAATGGCATCAGACACTGTATTCTTTGGTGTATGGCATTTTTTTTAACTAAAGATTACTGAGATGACAATGGTTAAGAAAGTTACATAGGTTTCAAGTGTACAATTCTGTAATATGTTATCTATATATCACATGTGTGTTCACCACCCAGAGTCAGTTCTCCTTCCATCACCATATATTTGATCCCTTTACCCTCATCTACCACCCCCCACCCCCCTTACCCTCTGGTAACCAATAAACTATTGTCTGTGTCTATGATTTTTTGTTTCTTTATTTGTTTGTCTTGTTCCTTTGTTGCTTTCAGTTTTATATCCCACATATCAGGGAAATCATATGATTCTCAACTTTTTCTGTCTGACTTATTTTGCTTAGCATTATAATCTCAAGATCCATCCATATTGTCAAAAATGGCACTTTTCTTAAGGTAGAGTAGTAGTCCCTTGTGTATATATACCACATCTTCTTTATCCAATCATCTATCGAAGGACACTTTGGTTGCTTCCATTCTCGGCCACCGTAAATAAAGTTGCAATGAATATCTGAACTCATATATCTTTATGGATAAAAGTTTTCAGATTTTTTGGGTGGATACCCAAGAGAGAGATTGCTGGGTCATATGGTAATTCTATTTTTAATTTTTTGAGAAATCTCCACATTGCCTTCCATAGTGGCTGCTCTAGTCTGCATTCCCACCAACCGTGTATGAGGGTTCCTTTTTTTCCACAGCCTCCCCATAACTTGTTATTATTTGTCTTGTTGATGATAACCATTTTAACTGGTGTGAGGTAATATCTCACTGTGGTTTTTATTGGCATTTCTCTGATGATTAGTGATGTTGAGCATGTTTTGATAGGTCTATTGGCCATCTGTATGTCCTCTTTGGAGAAATGTCTGTTTAGGTCCTCTGCCCATTTTTTAATTGGATTGTTTATATTTTTGTTGTTGAGTTCCTTATATATTTTGTATATTAGCCCCTTATCAGAGGCATTTTTTGCAAAAATCTCCCATTCAGTTGATTGCTTCTTTATTTTGTTGATAGTTTCTTTTGCTATGCAGAAGCTTTTTAGTTTGATATAGTCCCATTCATTCATTTTAGCTTTTATTCCCTTGCCTTTGAGGTCAAATTCATAAATTCGTCTCTGAATCCAAGGTCCATAAGTTTAGTACCTGTGTTTTTTTCTATGCAGTTTATTGTTTCAGGTCTTATGTTTAGGTCTTTGATCCATTTTGAGTTCATTTTGGTACATGGTGACAGATAGCAGTCTAGTGTCATTCTTATGCATGTGGCTTTCCAATTCTCCCAGCACCATTTCTTGAAGAGACTGTCTTTTCTCCATTGTATGTTTTTGGCTCTTTTGTTGGAAATTATCTGTCCATATTTATGTGGGTTTATTTCTGGGTTTTCAATTATATTCCACTGTTCTGGTTTGTCTAATTTTCTGCCAATACCATGCTGTTTTGATTATTGTTGTCCTGTAGTATAAGCTAAAGTCAGGGAGTGTGATACCTTCAGCATTGTTCTTTCTTCTTAGGATTGCTTTGGCTATTTGGGATCTTTTGTGGTTCCATACAAATCTGATGATTTTTTGTTCTATTTCTTTAAAAAATGCCATTGATATTTTGATGGTGATTGCATTAAATCTGTATATTGCTTTGGGTAACATGGCCATTTTAACTATATTGATTTTTCCAATCCGTGAACATGGAATGCCTTTCCATTTCTTTGTGTCTTCTTCAACTTCTTTTAAAAATGTCTTACAGTTTCCACTGTATTGGTCTTTCATGTCCTTTGTTAAGTTTATTCCTAGGTATTTTGTTCTTTTTTTTGCAATTGCAAAACAAAATTTTTTTCCATTTCTTTTTCTGAGATTTCATTGTTAGTCTATAGGAATGCAATGGATTTTTGTATTTGATTTTTTAACCGGCAACTTTACTGTATTCAATTATTGTTTCTAATAGCTTTTTGTTGGAGTTTTTAGGGTTTTCTATATATGGCACCATGTCATCTGCAAAAAGTGACAATTTAATGTTTTCATTCCCAATTCAGATGCCTTTTATTTCTTTCTTTTGCCTGATTGTTCTGGCTAGAACTTCCAATACTGTGTTGAAAAGCAGTCGTGATAGGGGACACCCTTGTCTTGTTCCTGAACACAGAGCGAAGGGCTTCAGTTTTTCACCATAAATTATGATATGAACTGAGCTATTATCATATATGTCCTTTATTATATTAAAATATTTTTTCTATGCCTATTTTATTGTGTTTTAATCATAAATGTATATTGTATTTTGTCAACTGTTTTTTCTGCATCTATTGATATGATCATATGATTTTTGTCCTTTATTTTTTATTACTTTATTTTATTTTTTTTCAGATTTTTTATTGGGGAGTTGGGGGAGGGGAACAGTATTGGGGAATCGGGAAGGGGAACAGACAAGTTGCTGTCCTTTTGTTCTTCAGTCTAGTTGTGGAGGATGTTGCTTTACTGGCCCATGTTGGTATTATCATTGCGCTCTTCCCGGGTGAGGCAGTCACTCCCTGGCCATTGGGTGACTGCTCACAGCAGCTCATGAAAGCTCATGCCTGCTGCTGGCCAGCCTCACTGCAGCCTATGTCATTGCTGGTGACTCAGGGCAGCCCAGCTCCAGGTCGAGCTGTTGTTGACCATCTTAGCTGTAGAGGGTGCAGTGCACTGGCCCTGATGTGGGATCTAAAATGGGGCCCTGCTGCTCAGAGCTAGTGTCCCAAGCCAACTCCTAACCAATG